TTCGGATACATTTCATTGAACTTTCTACATGTTCTGCTGATAATTTTGTCACACTGTCCAAAAATAATAAACAAATTCATAAGAACTTCGTTTGAATAGTTTTGTTCCATCGTTTTGAAGGTATTTGCAACTTCTGAAGTGACGAAAATGTCGATATTATTAGGAGAATGTCACAACGCTACTGTCAAATAGTACATTAGCTTATTTGAATAACTTCCAACTATAGAAATCTTGTTTTGAATTGAAAAGGGTATATTTTGTATAGAGTTACTTTTTGCAATTGATTGCTTTCTTCCTTTCTTTGAAAGATTCCCACATTTTTTGTATGAAGATGGAGAAGTAGAAAGCCAAAACTTCGCCAAAAATCAATGTCTCGTAAAAATATACCCCTTTCAATGGATTCAACTTGTTTTTCACTACACACTATCAAAACTTGTCGTAGCTTTCTTCAGTTTCTTCAAAAATTTCGTCAATTATATTCATTACATCCGGTATGATGAGTATTTGGCGTACTCGTTGCATCTCGAATTATTTCTGCTGCCGAATTGATTCAGAAAATTTCAACAATTGTCATGGAGACGAGAAATCCAGATGATGATAACCTTTGTTCAGAATAAATTTGCCGAAACATCTTCATCTGTTTTTATGTAGACAATCTTTGCAGTGAATTGTCAAATTCGTGCAATAGCTTAATAACACATCATCAAATCATCTGGAATCTGATAATGGAATCTGGAATGGGTAACTGTTGGACAATAAAGCTATTATATTTTTTCCACCGTAGTGTGCACTGGTCAGGTCACGAAGCCCCAATACATTCGGGAGGGCGCCCCAGCATTATCAACCAATGACCACTTCCCACACCGTGGGGTAAGTGATCATTGGGTCCGACAATCATGTGCCCTGAGCAAACGCAGTGAGTCAATGATGACAAGCTTCTGCATCTGTGCGGATAAGATTTCTGCCTTAGTGCGGCAAGCCGGTATGATTTTGAGATTCGAGAGTAGAGAGGACATCATTCCACCAAAGACTCCAATAATCAGAACAACCATCTTGACAGAGTGCTTTGGATAGAGTCTGCGGAGTTCGAAGAGAAAATCTTGATATTTTATCCATTTTTCCTCCTCTTTTCTGATGATATTCGTCTCGCCAGGAGGTGAAAACTCCACGACAAATATCGTTTTGCTCGGGTGACCGAGAAGGACTACATCAGGCCGTAGATGGTAATATAGAACTCTCAAGGCCGTGTTATGTCGATGGATATAGGCCGAGACCGCATATGCTGGACATGCTGATAGCAAGTGCATTAGGGTCTCGGGCGCCTCGCGGCAGGCCCTGCATCTTGTGACAGTAACCTCTATACCCATCACGCGACTGCGGTAGACTAAGGTGTTGAAGACATAATCCTGGCAAGCCTTGATGAACCCCTCAGTTTCTGACTTCAGCCTATTCGACCTGAGAAAAGCGAAAGGTCAGGCGCTTTGATAAGCCAAGGTCTCCAATGTTATTGAAGAAGACCGCATGCATTGGCTTATCCTTGTGTTTCCGCAGAAGTAAGGTGATCTCTGCGGATTTTATCTGAGCTTTTTGCTGAACAGGTTCCAACTTGGTGACAGAGTTTTGGTCACCTCGTTCAGTGTCGAAAACTATACCAAGTTCATAAGCTGCTCGGGCAGCTGTCCTAGAGAGAAATGCTCCAGTTCCTGCTCCCTCATGGTCACGGACCATGCAGAGAAGGGGATCCGAACTCCTGACGACTTTACAGGCTGTATCCGGCACCATTCTGTCATGCAGACACTCCAAACTCACGGCCGGGGAAGTACAACCGTGGAACGGACGATTTGGGATACAAACTCCTATAGAGATGCATAATTTTTCGGGTCTTTACGTCAAGTTGATACAGCTCCTCCTGAGTCCACTTCACTACTCCAAACGAGTAGAGTAAGATTGGAACGGCAAGCATATTTCTTGCAGCAACTGTGTTCTTTCCTGACAGTTCCGATGACCAGATCTGTCGAAGTTTGTGCTGATTATTATTATTATTATTATTAATAATAATGATACAGTTTTCTCCTATAAGGACATACTTATACAGTTCAATATGTAAGTATGTAATGTATAACTCTTATTTGTAACTAACGTAATGTAGTTTCGTCCTATGAGAACATTTTTAAAGTTACACATACTTATACAGTTTAATGTATAAGTTTGTTACGTTAGTTACAAATGAAAATGGTAAAAAACATAGAAAGTTTCAATTCTCCATTTTTCATTACGAAAATATTTCGAACATGACAACAAACACTTTTGAAATGTTTTTAGAATTAGCAATGTAAGTATGTTGAGCCTCCTAATGTCGAATCAGCCCCTTCGGGGTCATAAGAAGCCCTTGAGGAGTGAAATATCTTCCAGCATGAAAAGTTAAAGGAATCATATCAAAATCCACTGACAGAGAGTTTTTGCATCTCTCGATGTATTCAACAAAATTCCAAGAGTGAAGTTGTATTAATATGTTTGAGTACAAAGTCGAAATTCATCTTTTTTTTCAATTCAGACTTCAAATTCAGGATTTTTATAAATTCTGACTGGGAATTCACATATTTTCAATTTTTGACTTCAAATAGAGAATTCAACACTCGAACAAAATTTTTTATTCTGAAGTGAATCATATAATGATCTACTATAAATCAAATCAAACCACCAATGATCAGTGAGATTCATTTTCTATTATTTGAAGAACTGAATAATCATTTAAGTAACCGTTCGACATGAAGTCGTAATTTTATGAATGAATTGAGTCCTTCATCTTAAAGTGTTATAACAGATTAGTGCGGAAAAGACAATAAGGAAAGTGTCTTATTTCCATACATGGAATGTCCACCGGTGAGAATGACAGTGTTGCATGTAAGTGAAATTTTACTTCTTTCACTCACTTTATTGTGTAGCATTCTTATGATATCTGATTCGATTCCATAATGGATGTTTGGAATACAAACTGAATAGAGAAGAATGTTTTTGTATAATTCAGTGTAGTATAAGTAGTTGTTTCGAAAGTTTTTTTCTTCGTGTAATTCAATGTAATTCAATGTTTAAACGAAACTAACTGTTTCGAGAAGTCTTTTTATTGCAGTTTGTGTCTGAAAGTTACTTCTTTGCATATACATCTACACATCTTTGAATAGAGTTGATGTTATGTAAGTGATTGCTTCTTTGCAAATTCCCACATTTTTTGTATGGAGATTTTTCCTCAATTATCAATTGTGAAGTATATTTTTCCAATTTTTCTATATCATAACATCTTTAGGATGTTTTTTCACTGTCTTCTTTTTTAGCATTCTAATATCAAGACAAAAGTTTGACGTATTGTGAACATTTAGTAGTTTTGTTTCAAGAAATAGGGTCCAACCAAATTAATCAATATGCCTCAAATGACATAACAAAATGTATATCATCCCCACAACCAGAATGATTCAATATTCAGGTTTGTGGTTTCTGTATCTGCGATGAGGCGATGATATTTTCTTTTACGAAGATGCCAACTATGGGATAAACAGAAAACTGGAACCAAGAATAATACTGTTAAACGAGGCCCCGGGCTCACAAAGGCAGTCATTTGTTACCTTTTTCACAAAGCTGGGTTATAATCTGAATTAGTATGATATTCTGAACATCTCGTTTTCTTACAGGGTGGAGCATCCAAACTGTTCAGAAAAATTACTTCTGGTCTGTATAGATGTTTCAATGGAACGAATTAAAAAAATCCATTTATAAATTCCTACATGATGTGGATTGTTAGATGTCTTAGGTCTTGAACGAATTATATATTATCTTTGAATTGATAATATTCCTATTTCTAAATATAATGTTACATACATTCATTGAAACCGATGTATGGTCACTGTATATTGAAAACATTAATGTAAGATTTGAATGATTTGAATATTGTTAATAGTTGGAGCTGACAACTATTTTTTGGGAAATACGCTTCAATTACTTAGATAGAGTTATTATAGAAGAATTATTTTCACCTGTCATGACCTATTGAATTGTGGAGCATCGCCAATTCCAATTTCGGCACTCTGTTTTGATGAATTGATTTGAAAATAATGAAGAAATAATTCAAATTTCAAGAATTTGACACATCTCAAAACAGACATCGAAAAAAGTAATGAAAGTTTTAGTTTGCTTTGTTTTATTCTTGTTTCCACACCTATATATCGAAGATTGTCTACAAATACATTTTGTTGAAGTTTTCCAAAATTTAACAAT